CAGTGGCATGATCTCTGCTCACTGCAACCTCCACCTCCTGGGTTCAAGCAATTCTCTTGCCTCAGCCTCACGAATAGCTGGGACTACAGGCGCGCGCCACCACGCCCAGCTAATTTTTGTATTTTTTAATAGGGACGGGGTTTCACCATGTTGGCCAGGATGGTCTCGATCTCTTAACCTTGTGAACCTGCCTCGGCCTCCCAAAATGCTGGGATTACAGGCGTGAGCCACCGCGCCCAGCCGTTTGGTCTTTTTTTAATTTTAATTTTTATTTGGCTATTTATCTGTATCCTTTGTAATATCCTGGATAATAAACAGTAAATGTAAGTAAAGTATTTCTCTGAGTTCTTGAGGTGCTCTAGCAAATTAAACCAAAGGAGAGGGTAGAGTGGAGACACTGATTTATAGCCAGTTTGTCAGAAGTACAGACCATAACCTAAGATTTAAGATTGGCATCTGAAGTAGGTGCAGTCTTGTGGGACTGAGCCCTTCATCTATGGGACCTGACACTATATCCAGGTAGATAGTATCACAGTTGAGTTGAATTAGGGGACACCCAGTTGATGTCCTCTGCAGAATTGCTTGGTTGGTGTATAGGGAAATACCCTTCCACATCTGTTTTTAGAAGTGTTGTGTTGAGTGGTGAGTGACAGTAGGAAAAAAGTAGATTTTTTCCCTATATCTCACAGAACTTATTTCCATTTTTTCTACTAGCTTTGTTTAAGTATCAGGCCCTTGGTCTGGCCGGTGTCTATGGCTGCGCTTGCTTTTAAGGAATAGATGGGAGGTAGCACACAAACAGAAGTAAATGTATTCTTATAGAAGCTTCTGCATTAATTCTCTGTTTTATTTTTTACCCGGGTAAACTGAACCACATGGGACCCCTTAATCAAGAGTCCTTCCATGTTTTCCATTTCCTGGTCCATGATATGGTCCTCTACATTTTGGATTTCATGATAGAGGCAAGAGGAAGAGAGCCTTGACTGCTACCCAGAGAAGTTGTTAGCCCTCCTCTTGAGACAGGGTGTGGTCCGACTGTGGCACTCTGTCTTTGAGAGGTGAAGAGAGTGTTCGTCTGTAGTAAGGGGGCATGAAATAGGGAAAGTGCTTGGTCAGTTCTTTTTGGGTTATTTTCAATGAGGAGACAGAATTTCTAGCCCAAAAGAAATCAAGTTTTATGGCCTATATGTTGCTAGTTTTCCATAAAAAATAGTTGTATTATATCAGCAACATGTGAGTGTATCTAATTGGCCACAATCCCTTGAAACCATCAAAAAAGTATTTTGTATTATTTTTGCTAGTATATTGTGTATAATATTACTTTAATTTCCTTAAGTAACTCTGTAAAAATTTTAGCTTTATTCACTAGCATACATTTCATGCATTTAAATGTACAATTCAGTCACTTTCGAATATTCATAGAGCTTTGCAACTGTCACCACAACTTAAAAATTTTTTATTTAAAGACAAATTTATTGACAAATAAAAATTGTTGCCATGCATGGTGGCTCATGCCTGTAATCCCAGCACTTTGGGAGGCCGAGGTAGGTGGATCATGAGGTCAGGAGTTCGAGATGACCAGCCTGGCCAATTTGGTGAAACCCCATCTCTACTAAAAATACAAAAATAAGCCAGGCATGGTAGCACATGCCTGTAGTCCCAGCTACTGGGGAGGCTAAGGCATAAGAATTGCTTGAACCTGGGAGGCAGAGGTTGCAGTGAGTCGAGATGGCACCACTGCACTCCAGCCTGGGTGATGGGGCGAGACTCCGTCTCAAAAAAAAATTGTCTGTTTATGGTATTCAACATGATATTTTGAAATATTTTTATATTGTGTAGTAGCTGTATCATGCTAACATGCTAATTAACATGGATTACATCATATACTTATTGTTTGTGGTGAAAACACTTAGAATTTATCCTTTTGGCAAGTTTCTTTTTTTATTTTTTTGAGATGGGCTCTCACTCTGTCACCCAGGCTGGAGTGCAGTGGTGCAATCTCGGCTCACTGCAACTTCCGCCTCCCAGGTTCAAGCAATTTTTCCACCTGAGCCTCCTGAGTAGCTAGGATTACAGACACCTGCCATCATGCCCAGGTAATTTTTGTATTTTTGTAGAGATTGGGTTTCACCATGTTGGGCAGGCTGCTCTTGAATTCCTCAGGTGATCCATTTGCCTTGGCCTCCCAGAGTGCTGGGATTACAGGTGTAAGCCACCTCGCCTGGCCAGTGGCAGTTTTCAAGTATATAATACATTGTCATTAACTATAGTCACCATGTTGTTTCAGGTCTTATGTTTAAATCTTTAATCTATTTTGAATTGATTTTTGTGTATTGTATGTGATACACTACTCATTATATACTTTTAGTCACTGGGTAAATTCGAGTGGTTTGATATTGGATAAAATTATCTCGATTTTTTTTTTTAGCGTTGTAGAATGAATGAAGACACTGGCACTGATTATATAACACCTTGGCAGCTATCTCAAGTGGTTGATGGTGGAGGTATTGGAATTATAGAAGAAAGCAAACACACAAATTTGACTAAAGGCGATTTTGTGACTTCTTTCTATTGGCCCTGGCAGAGCAAGGTTATTCTGGATGGAAATAGCCTTGAAAAGGTGATATATATATGAAAATATCTGATTTTTTTCCCCGTGTAATTCTCACTTTGTGCATTTGATACTCAGTTTTGTTTGTAATCAGAGAAAAATAAAAACATATTTTATTTTAGCTAGCTGCTAAAATGCCGAAAGTCTTTGTTCACTTTCCACTGTTAGCTGTGTAGGGAAGTTTAAATTTTCCTTCTGAAAGTTTGTTACTTAGGCCTATTAAACTGAATAATAAACAGATTAACAAGAGAAAAACCATTTTATTTATTGTTTTATCTTTTTTCTTTTTCATTTTTTTTAAGCATTGTGGATGTGAATATTATTTTTTCTTTATTTATTTTTTTTAAACTTGAGCCATAGGTTTCATGAAGCAGGGGAGAAAAAACATTTTAATTCATGCATGTGCACTGGAGCCTCACAGAATGGGAGACTTAAAGGAGGGGCCTGATGGTTGAAGAGTTTTTTTTGTTTGTTTCTGTGCTTGTTTATTTTAGAAATGGGGTCTCACTATGTTGCCTTGGCTGGTCTCAAACTCCTAGGCTCAAGTAATCCTCCCACCACAGCCTCCCAAAGTGCAGAGATTACAGACATGAGCCACTGCGTCTGACTGAAGTTTTTATAGTGTAAAGGAATGGGGCTTGAGGCTTTTGGGGGAAATGACAACAAGAAGGGAAAGGGGAGGAATGGCATGGTGAACAAAGGTTATCTTATTGTACAGAAAGTTGCTCACGTAATAAAAGTTGTTTCAGAGCAGCCTCCAAAAGAATAGGCATAGCCTGGCTGGGTCTGCTAATGACTTTTATTTTATTTTTATTTTTTATTTTTTGAGGCAGCATCTCACTCTGCCACCCAGGCTGGAGTGCAGTGGAGTGATCTTGGCTCACTGCAACCTCTGGCCTCCTGGGTTTAAGCCTTCGTCTCACCTCAGTCTCCTGAGTAGCTGGGATTACAGGTAAACATACACCACCACACCTGGCTCATTTTTTGTATTTTTAGTAGACACAAGGTTTCGCCATGTTGGCCAGGCTAGTCTCAAACTCCTGACCTCAAGTGATCTGTCCGCCTTGGCCTCCCAAAGTGGTGGGATTACAGGCATGAATCACTGCGCCCTGCCATTTTTATTAAACTTTTTATAGAAACGGAGTCTCATCATGTTGCCCAGGCTGGTCTTGAACTCCTGGCCTCAACTGATCCTTCTACCTCAGCCCCACAAAGTGCTGGGATTACAGCTGTGAACCACTGTGCCTAGCCTTTGTGGTACATTTTAAGCATCAGCAATGAGAACTGTTGAAATTCGAGTTGACTTTTTTTTCCCTTTTTTTTTGTGACAGAGTATGGCTCTGTCACCCAGGCTGGAGTGCAGTGGTGCGATCTCAGCTCACTGTAAACTCTGCTGTCTGGGTTCAAGTGATTCTCCTGTCTCACCCTCTTGAGTAGCTGGGATTACAGGCGCCCACTACCATGCTTGGCTACTTTTTGTATTTTTAGTAGAGATGGGGTTTCAGCATCTTGGTCAGGCTGGTCTTGAACTTCTGACCTCATGATCTACCTGCCTCGGCCTCCCAAAGTGCTGGGATTACAGGCATGAGCCACCTCACCTGGCCTCAGTTGATTTTTATAGGTAAATGTTTACGTTGGAATTACTCAGAGACTTAAAAATCAATGTTGCCAAGTATTTTTGTGTTAAGCAATTCCTTTTTTTTTTTTTTCCATAGTGGGGCATTAACGAGAAAGAATATTTGGTCTCTTATGTGGGAATTTTTTTTTTAAGTTTCTTTTTAATATAGAGAAGTAATATAGTTTTTTACTCTTTACAAGTAAATTTTAGAATTTTAGCAAGATTGATGAATGGTTTGCTCTTCTAGAAACCATATTGGGTTGTTTATTATACTGATGGACAGACTGCCATAACAAAATACTATAGGCTGGGTGGTTTAAACAACAGAAATTTATTTTCTCACAGTTCTGGAGGCTAGAAGTCCAAGATCAGAGTTCTGGAAAATTTGGTTTCTGGTGAGGCCTCTCCTCCTGGATTGCAGATGGCCACGTCTTGCTGTGTCCCCATCTCCAAATAAAGTCACATTGGGGCTTAAGGCTTTAATATATAAATTTTGTGTGGGACACAATTCAGTTCATACACATTGTCTCTATTGTCTCAAAACAGGAATTCCTAGTATTATTCTAAAAGGGTATATATTTTATTTTAGGTAGACCCACAACTTGTGGATGGACACCTTTCATATTTTCTTGGAGCTATAGGTATGCCTGGTTTGACCTCCTTGATTGGAATACAGGAGAAAGGTCATATTACTGCTGGATCTAATCAGACAATGGTTGTCAGTGGGGCTGCAGGTGCCTGTGGATCCTTGGCTGGGCAGGTAAAGTTTCTGAAAATTATTTGATTTTCTGATTATTTGAGGATATAATACATATAATAATAATTTGTAATTGAAATTCCAGATATATGTATATCATTTAAAATATAAAATTGGATAATTTTTTTTTCATGCCTCAGCCTCAAGAGTAGCTGGGACTACAGGTGTGCACTGCTACACCTGGCTAATTTTTGTATTTTACTAGAGATGGGGTTTTGCCATGTTGGCCAGGCTGGTCTCAAAACTCCTGGCCTCAAGAGAACACCTGCCTCGGCCTCCCAAAGTGCCGGGATTATAGGCATGAGCTACCATGCCCGGCCAAAATTGAATAAATTTATAATGACTTTCACACATTTCTTGTATAAGCGGTGTTTCACCCACATAGACTCTCTTAGTAACAGTATGAAAAATGTAGATTTGAGGCCAGGCACGGTGGCTCAAGCCTGTAATCCCAGCACTTTGGGAGGCTGAGGCAGGTGTATCACATGGTCAAGAGATCGAGACCATCCTGGTCAACATGGTGAAACCCCGTCTCTACTAAAAATACAAAACATTAGCTGGGCGTGGTGGCGCGTGCCTGTAATCCCAGCTACTCAGGAGGTTGAGGCAGGAGACTTGCCTGAACCCGGGAGGCAGAGGTTGCAGTGAGCCGAGATCGCGCCATTGCACTCCAGCCTGGGTAACA